ATTTCGCTTCAAGAAATGTGATATTTTAATTTGAACCTCTTAAGAAACGAACATTCCCGACATCTAAATGAAAGTAATATGTAATATTCATTTTATCTTTAAATAAACGCATTCACTTATTTAGATGCAAATATATATTTCAATACCTGTAATATTTTTGTAAGTTTGTTTTCTGATTCGTGTTCATCACTATATTCTTGAAAAATGTTTAAATATAAATGATAAAAAATGGTTGAAGAACTTTTTTTACCATAAAATATTGGTGTGTGGTAAACTCGTGATATTTGTAAGCGAGCAACATCGCATTTCAACTTGAGTGCGCTTTTGACAATTTCTCTAATTGGTAAACAGTAAATGGGAGAAGCAACAAACAATTCAGTAGATTTTTGTGAAGTCTAAACTGTAATGGAAGATCCAGAAAAACATATTTACCATATTGTGAAATCACCCTCGCGAAAAAGTAATAGTGCAAAATTTCTTTCCATTTTAGTTGTAGATATGATGTTCATGCTGGTATTATAGTTTTATATTACAGTTTTATATTATAGTTTTATATTATAGTTAGTATAGTATAGTATTTTATATTATAGTTTAGCTAGAAATAAAGTCCTGATGTTCAGATTCAGATATTCAAATTTTTGTTTTAGTTTCATTGAACCCGTCAAATTATTCTTACGAATAAAAATATAGTTCTCGACCAGAACGTTGACCTGGAAATATATATATATATATATATATATATATATATATATGTGTGTGTGTGTGTGTGTGTGTGTGTGTGTGTGTGTGTGTGTGTGTGTGTGTGTGTGTGTGTACGTAATGATGTTAAGTCGAAGCTGAGCCAAGCTGATTCTGCTCGGCTTTAAGCTGGAAGCCGATCGGCTAGGCTCGGCTTGGAAATTTTCCAAATTGGTTGTGTGGACGCAGCCGTCATATCTGCTTCCTCTCTCAAAAGCATTCCATCATTTATTTTATCCTAAGTATTATCCTGCAAATATTATATTTGATATTTATTTATTATATTTATTTTGTGATCAAAATTTATTCGCTTTGTTTTATTGTAAGGCTCAATTAAATTCTTTTTAATTATGAGTATTTATTATTCTTTTTTGCAGTAGTTTAACTAATTGATAAATAAATTTTGATCGTTCATAATTTTTTCGATTGTGGTTAGCGATAGTTTGGAAATATTTTGGTTAGAAATCGAACTATAGCGCATGTACTTTTAAGGCAACAAAAATCCGTCATAATGACCATCTTCGTCACTTTTCATTTAACTTAAAGGTGGATACACATTGTGACCATTTCAGATGTTATGACTGATTCAATAGCAAGAACTGAGAATCCACTTTGAAAATATGGTGATTGAGATGCTGAAAAATTGTTTTTTTTTTTAAATTGACGTCATTGCAACTAACCTATCATACTTCCATTATATGTTAGTTAATTAATGTAAATATTATCATTAGGGTTAATTACCTTGCGACAAAATATTCACAAGACGACATACAACAATGTTAGGTTTCAAGATTCTTACGCAACGAAATCACAATTGTTGCAATATATCCTATCTATATAATTTGGTGATAAAAATCAACCCTACCAATCAAACTGCGAATGGCATATGCTGTGCTTTCGAGTGCTGCCTATTCAGTGTGTTCAATAAATTGTAGATACTTCATTATTATATTATGTTTGGATTTTTTAAAATGTTTGCCAACTGAATGTAATGTGTTAAATTGTGGTTGTAACTGATATGAAGCATGAGTGTCAAAGTATTTATTTAGACTTTGTTTTAAAAATTATCTAATGGAATCATTTTGCTGAGTGAATATTAAACCGGCTGTCATTGTGTTTTGAGTAAACAGACGTGTTGAAATGTGATTAAAGTCAGGTGTGACTTTACTAACAGAAATTACATACCATATGGGAATTAGAATTTGTTAGAGTATTAAAAAAGAAAGATACTTTTTAATTTTGCAAATAATCAAAACAAAAATCTGTATTTTTTGCTCAATCTGTTTATATATATAAGTAGATCAAACCATTAGAGTTGAGACAGTCGTAGACTGTTAAGAAATATCACTGCATTTTCAGATGAACTGATCAAAGCTGAAAATTTAGCGATATTTTAAAATTATATATATATATATATATATATATATATTTATACATATTGCGTGTGTGTTTGTTAGTGCTAATAATTGTGGCTAGCATTGTTAATTCTGCTAATTCCAATATTTGTGCTTATGGCATGAAAGTTTCTAATCACTAAAAAATTAATAAAACATACTACACGTATGTGTGTGTCATTATGTGTGGGTCTATATAAATGTGAAGAAATTGAGGAAGAGAATATTTTCTATATTTTATAGGCGTTATGAGTGTCCGTCTGTCTGTGTACTTGGATGTGTGTGTGTGCGTTTCGATATAACATCCATTTTGACTTAACTGAAAAGGTTGTTTCTTTTCATAGAGGTCTCAAGTCCTTTGTTGCTGCACGGCCTCCAGACTAGACCTCTAAACCGGACCCTGTTTGTAAAAGATGTTCATTTGTTTTAAATTTTTAATCTGTTATATCTAACAAGGCGAGCATATATTAGCTATAGTAAATCCTTAACAAAACAAACAACTTTTGTATAGGTGCATTTAATTCGATATTTTTTACATTGAAGTGTAGGCGCACACACGTCTTCTTCGCATTTGCTTAAATGTCAACTTCAGCGGGTTTAAGATCTCTTGTGTCAGTATTAATTGCACACAACAATATTTGCACAGCGATCCACTTTAGTGCTTCAAACGGCGTAATGCATACGACTTGCACAACATCATTGTGTAACACAACAAAGTACACATCATTTATAAGTAACATCCTTTCGTTCATTTTTATAACATCAATTTATTAATCTGCTTACGGATAATGTCAAAATTAATTGCGTAACAGTATAACAAACATTTTATGAAGTCTAAAGCCGACAATACATTTCGTTGGGTTAGTTGCGATTGTTTTAAACATCAAATGAGTTTAAATAATTGTTTCTGCAATTAAGAGAAGCCAATTGAAAATGTTATATATATATGTTATATATATGTTATATATATATATGTTATATATATGTTATAACTATATGTTATATATATATATATGTTTTATATATATATATATATATATATATATATATATATATATATTTGTCGAAATGATCGAAATTAAATAAATTTGATAGCAAAAATGCTTGAATAGAGGAAATAAATAGGATCGTACATGTAAAATAAATAATTAATACATACATACACATATAGATAAATAATTAAAATATTGAAGTCGTTAAACTAGGAAATATATCGCCCCTATTGTTTTGATTGACAACAACAATTTATTTTGTCACTCATAACACCAGGCTTGCTGTTTGTTAGCAATTATAAAACCCCTATCTACCATCATCAAGATGTCAAGTTAGCAGCTGTTTAGTAATTTACACCTTACTCGTTTATTCAAATAAAATATTATCCCATTTCTAACTTTACGACTAATGTTAACTTGTAAGATGAGAATGAACTGTGTGTTTATAAAATCGTGAATTTCAATTTTGGAGTTAAAATAGAAACAAATTATACATCTAAAAACACACACACACACACACGTCACACACACACGCACGTCACACACACACCTATCACAACAGCGTCAAGACATTCCATTAATTAATCGTCTTCATCCATTTGTTCTGCAAACAATAGAAATTGGAATTTAGTCAAACAATCGGTAATTCGCTCTTTAAGTTAGAACCTAATAGCAAACAAGTTGTGGTGTTGTTTGTGTAGCCATTCAGTCAACCAATCAATCGAATCAATCGACCTAATTGGAAGTTAGTTATGCAATGGTGACATGCCAACAATGTGAATAATGTATGGATGGATGAATGAATAGACATTTATTGCCCTATTCATTATAACCATCAATAACTTCTATATAAAGCAGTTTATCTTATGCTGAAGTTTCAATTTATTCGCTGACAAAGGACTTGAGTCTTTATTTGTATCACGTTTTTATCGAATTCTTTTAATAGTAATAAAATTATTATATTGGTATTTTAAAACGTTCTTTTAGCAGTAATACAATTATTATATTAAAATTTTACAACAAACATTTTCGGATTTTATGAATTTTTTTGCAAGATAGAAATAAATTTATCATGATTAAGGTAGAAAAGCACTTAGTAAACTTTCATAGTGTTGATGAATTGTGTAGGAATGATTCTTTTCAAAACATTGCTGCCGATTTATCGTTGCTTTGTGAATCAGATGAAGGATGTAAAATACCAAAACCAATTTCGTGGCCTAAAATATGTGATCCAAGATTAGGCAGCCATCCAAAAAATCTTCAACTGCAAGCTGACCTACGTTGCAATCTACCAAACGAGAACAGCAGAGACGAGAAAATTTCATGGATCACGCAGCAGGCCAGCGCAGTTCTACCGAAAGTATTGAACATGTCCTACGAATTTTTTTCAATTAATCAACATCGATACGATAGTTTTTTTGTGTCAAACCATTACAACGAATTAAAAAATATTTATCGAAATGATTTTAAACATTCTTCATCTTCTACTCCACCAAAAAATTTGAGTGAAACTGAAAAGGTATCGCACAGAATTGATTACATTTCCAGAAATTCTTATAGCACTTCGAACGATAAAATGTTTCACAGCTCAAACTGTTGCAAAATGAAACAGAAAAAGATGTGTGTTTCGCCAACATTACCAGACCCAGCTTTTGACAAACGTGAACTTGAGATATCACCCACAATTTCTGACGTATCAGCCAAAGAAACGTGGAATTTGGATGTTGAAAACGAGAAAACATCCCCAAACACTGGCAATGCAAAGAAAAATAGTGATAGAAGGAACCGAAGAATATATAAAGATTACGAATTGGAGAAGATGGAGCTGACATTTATTAGGTGTGCTGGATATCCTGGAAGAGATGCAATCTGTCAACTGAGTCGAGAATTAAAGTTAAGCGAGGAAAGAGTACGAAACTGGTTTCAAAACAGAAGAGCAAAATCAAAAAAGCTAACAAAAGCAGGAAACAAATCGCCACTCCAGTCTGTCTCTTCAAACACTGTTCATCATTCGATGTTCAACACTTTGAATAGTTCGGAGTTTTACGCAGCAGCTGATCTTGCGAAAAAATTTTTATAAAGTATTGTACGAAAATTATTATAAATATAAGACTTTTTGAATATTTTTTAAACATTGATTTTTAAAATTGTTAAATAGTTTCTTTTATTCTATTAAAAAAATTAGAAATGAAAGTGCTTAGTATTCTGAATCACTTTTAAACAAAATTTTATAATTAAATACTACACAAAAGATATTCAAAAACGTTTCCGAATGATTTTACACTAAAAAAATACGGATAAATTAAAATATGATAAGTTGACTGAAAAGAGATTAAATATTAAAAGGTTGCTATGACATGGGCCAAAAAATATCGGGCTCACCAAAAACAGTTTTTATAAATCCAACTTCATTTTTTTCGAACAATTTGAGTCGGCCAGCTCGTTTAGATGTGCTGTTGGAGAGACCGCACGCCGATTTTGATGTGCAGGTGCGACACGCATGGAACCCTCTCGACAAATCCACAAATTTATTCATAAAGGACGATGATATGCTGACCGTTCACAGACACCCTGTTGCTCAAAGTACTGATTGCATTCGAGGAAAAGTAATTCTGTTAACTGTTCTTTTAAATTGAAATTACTAAATGTTTCTTTTAACATGAAGTCTTCAACTGATTAAAAAATTTTTAGATATAATATTCATCATATTTTTCTATTTATTTTTTAATCAATGTTTTCCCTTATTTAATTTTAATAAAATCAAAGGTAGGTTACACTAGAGGCATACATGTCTGGGAAATATATTGGAATGCAAGACACAGAGGAACACATGCTGTCATTGGGGTGGCAACAGGGGATGCAGTTCTTCAGGCACCAGGGTACAGTTCATTGGTTGGTAATGATGAAAAATCTTGGGGCTGGGACTTATCAAGAAATCGTCTCTGTTATAATGAGCAATCAAGAAGAAACGGAAACGTTTCAGAATTTAACAAAATCTACCCTCAATTTCCTGGTTTTGTCGAAGGTGATATCGTAGTAGTGCCTGATAAATTTTTAGTGATTCTTGATATGGATGAAGGAACTTTAAGTTTCATGGCTTCCAACGTATATTTAGGTGTGGCATTTACAGGCTTGAAGGGTCTTATTCTTTATCCTGTAGTGAATGCCGTCTGGGGCCACTGTGAAATATCGATGAAATATATTGGTGGAATGGAAAGTAAGATTCACTTTAATGCATACTACATTTTAATAAAAAATTAAATGATGAATTAACAAAATACATTGACATATCCATAATTCAGTGGAACCATTAAGCTTGCAGTGTTTGAGTCGCCAAGCCATTAGATGGAGTCTAAGGGATTGCATATCGCTGGAACATGTCAACAACTTACCACTACCCAAAAAAATGATTGATTACATCAAATGTACTAGTCAGCAAGCGTCATGAATACTGGAACTTTTTATTTGTTAATCCTTCCCATTTATTTTTTTTATAATTTCAAACCAATTTTGTTCTTTTAACTTTAATAATTCATCATGCAAGAAGAAAATAAGAAACATTTCCCTGTCTCATTTAGAGTTTTTATCTAGAGCTGTTGTTTCATTCCATACAATATATAAGGTTGTTGATGCATAAGAGTTCTCTGACAGACTTTATTCATTATTTCATTGAAATTGTTATTGTGCAATTTTTAACAAGTTTTGTTCGTATTCATTTTGTTATCTCTAGTTTTAATTTGTTGAAAATTGTCACGAACATGATCTTTTTTTAAAACATGTGATTTTATTACACATAAAATAATTTTTCATAATTAGTCATATGGTAGTTGTTTGTTGATTTTTATAAATTTTATATTTTCATGTGTTTAAAGATAAAGATGAAATACATTTTTGATCATTTTTTTTCTAAATGTCAATTCAGTAAATTTTTGTTTGTTTCTTGTCACCATTTTGCCCTGATGACGCCAGAAAGTTTGTTGTAATCTGCCAGGAGCCTCCACATTATTCTGCTTAATCTATGTGTTTGAACAACTCCTCTTGGTCGAGATGTTAGCACGCATCTGCATGAGTGACAACGTTTTATTACAATTCATCATTATTTTATCTGGTGAGATTTCATATGAATATGAAAGCAAGTAAAATGTTTTGTGAATGTACACTAAATTAATATTATTTCTAACCTATAAGCACATTCAGACATGACACCTTAAACTGCTTAAGTATATGGTTGATGAGTTAGCTCAAGGAGTAAAAGTATCGTGTTTCTGACTTTTTTAACAACATTTAAAAAGCAAAAATAAACAATTGTAGACCGAGACTACTTTATTCTAAATTTTCCTTTACAATTTAATGATTTTTACAAAACAAACTTAGATATGTATCATTTGTAACGTTTTCCACTTTTTAAGCAAAGTTATAGAAAAAGATTACCTGTTGACTGTTCTGTTAGGACAGGAATCTCTAGGCAATATTGTGAGTTCTTGTGAAGCATGTGACTGTAAAACATTAATCATTAATGAATTCAAAAAAAGTTCATAAAGAAGACTGATCATGATAGAAAATTTAAAAACTAACTCTTATCTCTTCTGGTAACATCTTTGCTCTTTTCAAAGCCACCAATCTCATCCTCAGTGGTGCATATTCGGTTGCCAGTGCTCTTCTCTTCACATCACGTCTCATTGCCCAATTTATGTACCGAGTTCTTACTTGAACTTTTTGGAACTAAAGATTTTATAAGATTGTGAATGACACAACAATGAAAATTAAAAAACTAAAAAAGTACAAAAATTTTTTGAGTTCAATACTTTATAAAAATAGTTTAGGTTTAGGATAAGTTTTGTATAGTATAGTGATAGTCATTAATTACAGTAATATATAATATATATAATAAAAATTATAATTAATAAGTTGCTGTTTAAAACTCAAGTTAAAGCTTCAAGTGTCTAGTTATTTATTTTATTAGTTTATATTTTTATATTTTAAATATATATTTATAAATAATTTATATAACATTAACAAATATTTAATCAAATGAAAAAAATTAACTCAAACACAAACTTGATTTAAAATTAAACTATAAAAAAATTTATATAATACAATATGAATATATATGTTGGTAATAGACCATAATTTTTACAATATTCTATAAATAAATTCTTCCTAATGTTTGGCAAACATTCAATAAAATAGAATATTGTAAATATATATATATAAATTATGATTAATATTAAAAATTAATTAAAAAAATGGTCATAAAAATAAAGAAAAGAAACTTAAGAAACCGATGGGAGAGCAAATCCATTGGATATCTTGCAAAAAAAACTGAAAATTGAAGTTGACATCATTCCAGTAAAACTTTATGTTATATAGATAGATTGATAGATTATTAGCTGTTAAGATTATTAGCTGTTAATTTTTAATTCAAGCTGTAATACATCGACATATTTTCTCAGATCAATGAACGACTGTCAAAATTAATCACAACCAAACCCAGACAATCAAAACTTAACTTTTATACTTTTAAAATTTAAAAGTAAACAGCATACTAGCCATGAAAAATGTTAAACACTTTAGTTCAAGTTCATGGCTATGTTTTTACATTTGACAGGGTGGGGTGGGACCATCTGATTAAAATAAAACAGGGAATCGACCTTATATATATATATATATATATATATATATATTTATATATATATATATATATATATATATATATTACCAACCAATGACTGAACAAACAATATATAATATATGTCTTCTATAATTATATGTTACCAGCCAATGACTAAACAAGCAATATATAATATATGTCTTCTATAATTATATGTATTCTAGTTTAATAATACCGGCATTTTTAGCAAAAACGTTAGTATTACTATTAGATACACCGCAAGAAGGTAACGTTGTGCTTAATAGTTGCACCGCTGTTTCGAAGTCGCCACGTAAGTTTGAGTCGTTTTCAAGTTTTTCTAGTTATTTATCTCGACTTACAATGGCCGATACATTAACTGGGGTGTTAAAACGTTTTTATGATGATTACTCTCTATCAACATCCAAGAAATTAAAAATCGTCGATGCTTATTTGCTGTACATTCTGTTGACTGGAGCCATTCAGTTTTTGTACTGTTGCTTGGTGGGCACCTTTCCATTCAATTCCTTCCTGTCAGGATTCATTTCGTGCGTTGGATCGTTTGTGTTGGCAGGTCTGCTATTAGTTTTTATTGTTAAGAGTTCAGTGCTATCATCATTTGTTTGTTATTCTAATAATTTTCGTTTTTAGATGCGTTTGTGACTTGTGTAGTCCTGGTATTGTAATTTAAACAAATTAGTATTTTATTTTTAGTTATATTAAAAATTAAAATTTAAATTAAGCATTTATTTTTACTGCCATGGAATTGACCATTGACTGAAGTAGTCAATATGGACAAACCAGTTAGGAGTGGTCTTATTTTTATGAACTTTCATTTCATTTAAGATTTTAAGCAGCAAACATTAATTAATTAATTAATTATATATATCTTGGACATTTTTTCAATAATAATATAATAATGTTTATCTTTCTTTGATTAAAATATACAGTAATCTTAACTTAATTAAGCTATTAATAATTCACTTAATGTTGCTAACATTATTATATTGAGTTAATTTAATAATCTGATTCCTTCATTATTTTTTACTTATTATGGTTGTATGAAAAAAACAAGTAAAATGGATGTTATAAATTTTGATTATAGACTGAGATATCATATTCTGTATATTGTTAATGATCATTTATAATTATATAAATTGATAAATAAATTGATCTTTAATTGTGTTTGATCATAAAACTAAATTGAGCTTATAGCCACAAAAACAATCAATGTATTTGTGGAAAGAGAATTTTGTTAACTGAATCAGCTGAATCAATGATGTAAAAATATTTTTTTTATTTTTTAGTTTGCTTAAGAGTACAAGTCAACCCAGTCAATAAAGATGTATTTCATGGCTTGAGTCCAGAAAGAGCCTTTGCTGATTTTATATTTGCACACGTCATATTACATCTGGTTGTTATAAATTTCATAGGTTGAATCACTCGCAGAGGTCCAATTCTATTTTTTTTCTCAATTGAAAAAAATTTCATAAGCGTCCATTATTGTCAATTAAGCAATCAAATAAGTTTAATTTATCTACAGTAATCTTTTTAAATTTTTTCACAGGTTATTCCCATCATATTTATGAAGAAATGATTTTTAGTTGTGTTTGTTTTATTTACATTACTTTAGTTGTATTTGTTTTGGTGTTTTGAAAAAAAGAAAAACAGATTTTGTTTAATTTTTTTTTCAAAATATTTAAAAAAATCAAAAATATTTCTTTTGATAAGCTATGACTAACGAATTTATATAATATAAAAAGCGTCCAAAATTTTGAAAATCGAATTAAAACTTTAATTTATAAATAAAAGTTTAAAATACACTTAATTTCTCATAGGAAATGTTTATAATCTTGATACATGATATTGTAAATGGCTATTTTCATTAACAACCCTGCAAAACATCAAGAAAAATTAACTAAAATGAAATTAGGATTAACTATAATGAACTCTCGGTCTTTCAGAATGAATGCTTACATAGTAATCTCGTAAAATCATTAGTAAAATCAAAAAACAGATAAATACGAAAAATATATCCTAATTAAATTTTTTAAGCAAACGTGGCACTTTATTCATTTTCCATTCATTTACGTTAGCATCAATAAATTTTTGGAAAATACGACAATCCTCCATTTGGGGGTGCCTGCAGAATATATATTTCTGCTGCACATCCATGTATATGTGTATATGCCCATAATATGTATATAATATGTATGTATATATATATAAGTATCGTGCCATTTAGATAATTTCATTAAATGATAATTCGTTGATATAAAAATAGAGAAAGATTGTTATTTTTAACTTGAGTGATGGAAAAAAATAAATAGATGAGCTGTAAGCAGAACAACCAACATAGCAATTTCAAAAATATATGTAAATGTGAATATTCATTATTAATTAAAATGAGCAAAATTAGAATGTTTGAATCATCAAAATAATCGGCCAATCAAGGAAATACAATATCATGTCAACGGATGAACATGTTTCATGTTCATCACCGTTCGAACTTAGATCATTTCATTTGTTTCGTAGTGTTTGTTGGCTGTCAAACATTCATACATGCAAGAAAAAAAAATTAATGCAGTAAATTGAGGTATATTGAGGTTTGTTGTGTCTTTCATTGAATGTTGTATCTATACCATCCATTCAAAGTTACGTCAAAGTGTTGTATGCGATCCCTTAAGTTATCTGTATTTTTAAGAGTATTTTAAACACTTATTTTTTAATATATGTATATTTATAGTGTCACTGTTAACAGGATTGATTTCTGAACTTGTTTTCAAATTGAGCTTTTACATTTTTTAACATGAAGGGTGAGAATTCATTAGGTGAAGGTTGGTTCATGTGTCCGGCCACGGTCAATAATTATGACCTCAAACGAGTGACCTGCTGAAGTTGTTAGGCTGATTATAGTTGGCGCTCCGTCTGTAGGAAGTCAATGCACGTTTTGCTAGAAAAGATTCTGTTGAAAGTTTTTTGAATGTTGGGAAATGGTAAATGCGCGGTAAAGAAATTGCTTTGGAGAGTCTTTTCGATGTTTCATGTCTTGAAATTGTTCAAGTTCAAACTTATATGTAAACTTAAGTATATAAATAAATAAATAAATATATATATATATATAGATAGATATATATATATATATTTAGAATATATGATTTCAAAGTTTAGGGTGAGTCGATACAATGGGCACCTCTGATGGAGTTGCACTGTTGATACGACGGAAATGGCACATAAATCAGGCCGAAAGGTTATAAGGTAATGTCGATTGTTTCCATGGTGGAGATGATGGAACAGAAAGATGATAGTTAGGCTTTTTGGGTTAGAATTCAGCAAACTGTATAATAATTAGAAAAAAAACTACATTTGACTTTTGTTCGTGATTTCACTCGAATACCTTTGGAAGGTTACATATCATTTAAGTCCACCCAGTTGCTCATCTAGTTTCAAATACAGTCTCCTTCAAAACCAAAAAAAATTAGTATTATTACAAAAGATTACTAAGTTTAACTTCAAAATAGTTTATATCCTCTATACAAAATTAATTTAAACTAAAAATATGAAAATAATTTAAAGATATACGTGTGAGATATACAAAGACAAAAATTCCAGCACGTCAGCATGCAATATATTAATATAAGTATTATTTATTTTTTATTAGTAGTAATAAAGTATTTTCTAGTCCCCCTAATGTTTTCAAAGCATTATGCATGCTTGTGGTTAGGAATGAAAATGTTATCCAAATATGGACTACACATAGCCAATTTTTTAGCTCCAGCTTAATGCTTGTTAGATTGTTTCGATTTTTTAAAACACTTTTTAATAGGCTATTATAGGACTATTTCTTATTATTAATCTTTAATTAAATCTTTAATTAAATTTTAATATCGTCTACTCAAATCTACACGTTGTTCTTAAAATAAATTGAACCAACATGTTCACGCGCTAGCAAACACTTTTCGGTGAAACATAATTATTATTTTACATTATTAAATTATATTATATTATACTATACTATATTAAATTATATTATTGTTAACGTTGTTAATTTGTGGTTATCATAATAATGATGTATATATTAGTCCGCTAGCAATATTATTTCCAATAAATGCATGGAATATTTGTAAGAAGTTTCAGAGAAACATACCTTTAAATAAACAAATGAAATTCTACATTCACACAATTCACATATTGTCATATATATATATATATATATATATATATATATAACTGAAGTTAAATATCTATAAGGTAAAGATAAGGTAAATTCACCCTCACATGTTGTTTGACGAAAATATGTTTAATTTAAGAAGCAACCTTTTTTTTATAGTGGTCTTATATATCCTGATTTTTATATATCTTATATATCTCAATAATTAATAAAAAAATGAACAAGAAAAATAACGAATCATCCAAACAATTCTACATTATAAGGCTCAGACAAACACTTTCCAGCTGTTAACTCTTGTTCCATTACCAGTTGGTTCTTTACATGCTGCTGCTGCTAATTTTCAATTGTTACTCCTCAACTACTCATCTCATTAAATGAAATATATATTTAACGTCATTCATCTCCGATAAATTATTTGCGAAATTAATTTGTGAGCGTTGCATGTATTTTGCAGAAGAATGAGAAAATTTAAACTGAAAAAAAATCATTATAGCAAATTTAAAATATCCAGAATGTTTGTAAATGCAAACCGTTCAGCAGAGTATATACAGAACTAACACTGCAACAACAAAATTTAGTGGCAAGAAGAACAAAATTAATCGAGTTCAGTATCTAATTTTTCAACAATATGTGATCAAATTTTTTTTGCAAGATTAAATCTTGGATACTAAAACTTCACCATTTATTTAGCAAGCTGCCGGCACATCCTGTGAGGAACGTGTGCAGAAATGTGCGCGTGTTGAACATTTCGGCGGCACTTGCTTACGTGTTTAGTAGTAATATTACTTCGCCACATAAAACATTACCCTGGCTTGAATACATAAATTAAAAAAAATATCAACAACATGGTCTCCAAAGCAAAAATAAATAATTTCGTAAATAATAAAATGTATATGAATCAAATATATAAATAAACACATGAAAAGTTGTAAGAAAAATACATCCATTAGTTACGATGAAAATATAAATTGTTAACATGTATCATGTATTTGTCAATTATCAAAGCATCAATTAAACAAAATTAATTTTCTGAGTACTTGGTTCTTTGGTGTACAAATATACAAACATACATACAAGCATGCACATACATACATACGTACGTACGTACGTACGTACATACATACATACATACACACACACATACATGCATACATAAAACGCACTAACGTGTGTACATACACAAACATACATACACACACACGCATACATACTCACACACGCATACACATATACATAGATTTGATATATTAAAAAATGGAATGCTAGCGAGTTGAAACCATTTTAGCTTTGAAATTAATCAAAAATCCTCACTTTCATAATTGAGTCTACTTCTAAAACATTCATAAATTATTTCTAATTAAATAGAAAAATCAGTGAAAATTGAATAAAAAGTGTTAAAAATTATAAAAAAATAATTTCTTAAACATGAGGAATGAATGAGTGAATGAGCGAGTGAGTGAGCGAGTTAGTGAATGAAGGAATGAGTGAGCGAGCGAGTTAGTGAATGAGTTAGTGACTGAGTGACTTAGTATGCAGGATTAGTTTCTTTAGATCGTTTCAGTTGCACTTTTAATTTTTTCATGCCAATTTGGAATCCGTTCATGGTCTGTATGGCTGCACTGGCACTGCCTGGATTGTCGAAGCTCACGAAGCCTTCGCCAGCAATTATGTAAAAAAATTATCAAATTAATAATAATAATGATAAAATGGTTATTATTATTAATATTAATTATAATAATGAAGTCGGGATAATATTTAGTTGGAATGAACGATGTTATTGTTATTTATTAATCGGTGAGTGATCGAATGTTCTGAGGTTTCGTTTCGTTAAAATAATTCAAACGACAGCGTAACGATATGAAAGACAACGATACAAAGGATAACAATAAAAGTGGCAATGGTAGAAATGTAATCTAAAATAATAATAATTAGCAATAATTAATATGGAAACAAATAAAATAAATAAATAAATAAAATTAGTAATCAGTGGTGTAGCCAGAAATTTTCCGTGAAGAGTTTTGACAGTTTGTAAAAAGTTGCTTATCTTTTTTAAAATAATTTCGCATTCTAATGACTTTTCATATTAAAACCAGTATATTTTAATTTTTTATTCTACAAATTTTCAAAACTGTTTTTTGTGGACAATTTCATTTCAAAATTCGTACTGTGATTTTGTTATAAAATAAACTCTTACTCTAACAAAAATTTTTTTTGACGAGATATTAAACTCTAAAATCTTCTTGACGATAATAACAAATATATACGTGGATGAATAAATAAATAAATGCCTCCTGACCGAAACACTTGCTCTGACTGGTTGCACGATCTACGTAGACCATGGCGCTGACTACGTTTCCAAAGGGCATGAACATTTGGGTGAGCTCGTAATCTCCGAACTCCTGAGGTAGATGGTAGATGAACAGGTTACATCCGTCTGGTCCGTTCGGTGACATACATCGCGTCTCTACAAGGAACAATTTTGGGAATTTATTTCCTTATTTAACTGTTCAGTGATTTTTATTTAATATTCACATTTCCCATGAAGTAAACGCCGTTTAAAATTGATATTTGCGCTTGTGCCAAAACGAATATAAAATAATTATAAATTTAATAAATTTAGAGAAAAAACGAACAAATAAGAGCTGTATATAGCAATTTAAAACCTAATGAACGTGTCATAAAGTTGCATTCATTTAAATACATAGCAACATAACTTGAAAAATCGAAATAAGACGGCTTAACAAAATTAGGTGACTTCATATAAGTATAAAATCATGGTGTACAATTATACCTTCTTTGTTGACAACAAATGGTTGAACAATGTTTTGTTGCTGCTGCTGTGCCAAGAAGGATTGGAACTGGTTACAGTTGCTTGAAAGTGCTTGTTGGTGTGTTAATGTTATATCGTTGCTGTTTTTGTTGTTAAGTGATGTGTAATGTTTGTTGCTTATTGTTGTTTTTGTTTGTATTATTTTCTTACTGTTATGAATAGTTGTCGTTACATTCGTAAATTTATATGAACGTCAACTGCCCAAGAGATTTTAATTTATTTGAAATCCCAAGAATCTAATAATAGTTTTGCGAAAAGTGATTTAGATTTTTAGCAAACAAAAGGCATAATGGTTATTTTCGTTCAAATAGACAATAGATTGATCAAATAATGTTAAACTATGGTGCAGCTATAAAAATTAATTAGAACCATAAAAAATGTTAAAACGGCAATAACGATAATACGCAAACAGTAGGCACAACGGCATAAATAGCGGGCGGGTCCCAGAGAAATAACACTGGCCACGTAAAAACGCATGCATCACATCCATGAGTTTCTATATCCAGGGTTATCATATTTCAAATTTCAAACAAGAAATTTAGCTAATGGAATGATTTAAAATTTGCTAACAGAAAGATTTGTTCTTTTTCTGCGGGTAGACGTTTTGAGCAATTTCAATGTCAATGCTGTTGCTGTTGTTTGTGTTGCTGGTGTTAGTCCAGTTTGTTGGCAACTCATATGAGCATGGATCTACGAGGACTGGCACTGGCAAAATATCATGATGAGGATGAAGGTGATCATGGTAGAGATGATGATGAAGATGATGGGGATAATGATGATGATAGAGATGGTGATGAAGATGGTAGTAAAGACGATGATGGCTAATTGGTAAACAAATTTATTGTCTGAATAGTTCGTTCTTAGTTCTTAATTACTAAGTTATACAAAGGAATATTATCTCTAATTATATCAGCCAAGGACATTAAATTTAAAACTGTATTTGAAAAATAGTAAAACACGTAACCATAAAACATGAAGACACATAAAAAGAGACTACATATACAAAAAAAAATAATGATACATATACAGATACAATGTGGAATGTATACATAGAATTAAAAAATAAAGGTATGTATACACACAAAAAAGAATATATATATATATATATATATATATATATATATATATATATATATATATATATATATATATATAACATAAAGATAGTATTGTAAACAAACCTGCAGTAGCAAACTGGTGGACCCCATTCATTAACTGCTGCAATTGGTCAGCACATACAACAGTGTGGGCTACATGGTTAAACATGGTTAAGTGTGGCTTTGGTATATTGTCATTGTATATTGTGTTTGTATAATTTTGTGGTTGTATTATTTCTTGTATGAGCTTATCATTCGTACTGTTTCATAGTTTAACCTACTAAAACATGTAAAACCTACTAAACCTACTAACTAAACCTACTAACTAAACCTACTAAATCAACTTAAAGCTTGTTTGAGTTGCTCATTTGAATCTTCAGTAATTTGCAATTTTGTTTTGAGTTGCAGATATTGTATAAATAATTTGTATCACAGTGTACAACGTAGGATATAGATTATTCGTAAGAAGATTTTGATGGCCAGCAAGGCAGCGCAAACACTGGAGCGTGTTTCAGGGTGGTTGTCAAATGTTTAAGTCTTCCGTTGTCTAATGAAAACTTTTCATGATTGGTTTTTGAGAAAGAGATCTCTTTTTATTTGAAATTATGAGCAGTATTATAAATGATAAGATTTCATCCGATTTCATGAAACAATTTTTTAATGGTTAATTTTGTGACATGAATGTTTACATGGAACGCTTCAGGAAAAATTCGACTGTTTGAAAGAGTTTGGCCCTTAAAAACACTAAATTGGCATACAAATGCAACTTCACACCTTAAATAAATTTGATGGATGCAGCTCCGTCTGTCGAAATGGAAACGTTCAACTATTTTCAATGGTGCAAGAAATGGATGGATGAATGGAGGGATGGATGTATGGATTGATGTATGGATGAATGGATGTTATATGGATGGATGAATAGATGGATGGATGAATGGATGTATGGATGGATGGATAGATAGATGGATGGATGGATGTATGGATGGAGAGGCCAACGCGCAACAGTTTGATTTTTTGTGTTTATCTCTTTTTTTTAATTTTAAATTGAAGTCATTTCTAGCATGCAATGCACATTTTTTCAATTTATAACACGCGATTTAAAACATTTTACACCCCACTCATATTTTATTGCATAATGATCACGCCATAACATGAATACACATATTTTTTTTGGTGGTTTGATAACTTTCAAAATTCTTGAAATTTTTTTAAAGGTTGAGATGGGTGAAAGAAATTAAGATTTTTATTTAATTATTTTTTTTAATACCACACATAAATCCCGACAAAGTTAATGATTGTTGTTTATAAAGGTAAAAGACATGGAGTTTAAAAAGTAATTTCTTAATTGAATTATTTGTTGAAATTTTCATTAGAAATGTTTATCAACCATTTATTAGAAATATTTATCAACCATTTATTTAGGTTTCGAGATATTTGTATTCGTAACTACTTGCTTCGGATCCATGTTTTTTGGAATTTAATGAATTTCCAAAAGTTTAAAATTTAGTGCAATTTTTGTACATATATATTTTTACCAATAAATTTTCTATTTTTGTGGTTTAATGTTTCTAATTTTTTCATTGATTTAAATTTTTGTTTGAAGTTTCATTGTTCAAAAACTTAGATTTATGCTGGAATTTTACTTAAAGAAGCAATTCATTGGTTGAAATGTTCAAATTTCTAAGTCAGATGAATTGCTGGGGATTGCAGTGTAAGTGGACGTGGGACTTCAACGGATGACTCGGCATAATAGAAGATAAATTAATGCGGCAATAAGTTATCCTCTCTAAAACATTACCAAAATGAAGTTGACTGCACTTACACATGCACATACTACAGACACATATAAACGTGCACTAACAAACACGCACATACAAAAACTCACATAAAAACATGCACATAGAAATAAGCACATACAAACAATATACAAACGTGCAAATACAAATGTGCACATGCAAGCATGCACAAGCTCATACAAACACACACACATTCGCATAAACTCACAGGCACATACATCCCAGCACACTTGAACGCACAGACCTCATCTCACGCACGAACGACAGAAAACAAAAGGAGAGCGCATCAAATGGGAAGAAATTGCAAAGAATGATGCACAAAAATAACGATAGTGAACAAAATCAAAAAGCAGGCAAGGAAGACTACAAAGAAAAAGATAAACAAACAAAGAAGCAAACAACATAATTGAAGCAAAATCACGCGCGGACAAACACACAAGGGTTACACTGAGAATGGCATGATCAAACGATAATGATGAAAGAATGTGTAATGCAGTACTTTTAAATCTCCAACTGCAAATGCATTTGGGCTAATCATCCTGATTATGTTATATTATAACTGTATGTTTGTTTCCTTACTCTACCAAGTTACGAAAAAAACTGCCTCTCTCCAACTTCATGCTCGTTTCAAATCTAATCATATTAAAATCTTTTCCAACATGTACGTATTAAACTTTTTCAGTGCTTTTCAATTGATTAAAATTAATCAAAGAATTGAATAATTGAAATTTTCAAACTCAGTCAAAATTCATCTGTGGCCATTGGAAATAACGGTTAATAATCAGAACTTTAAATATCATGTATGAGAAATATTTCATCCAATTGAAATAACAATTAGGTGGCAAGTTGTCTTGGCTCATCATTTATCAAATGGTTAGCATAACGTTCCTTAATAAATATTCTTTCTCTCAAGAAACTCTCGTAATAATTTGGCTCGTTCCAAAAATGACGGTGCAGTCTTCTTGCTGGAAAATTAAATGGAGCGCGTCAACTGATGTTGTTGTTGTTGGAATATTTGCAAAGCCGAATCATCATCAGGAAGACCATTTGTTGCCCGACCAATTATCAGACGGAAGTTTCTCTACTATGTTCACGCACGAAATAAATTTTTTAAATTTTCGAATTTGCCGGGAAATTATATTAAGTGCTCTGCTTAAATATTTTTTGTCAAATTTTCAACATTAAACTGTGCCGAACGTCCAATTAAAAAGCTATATGCCACTTAACATCTTGAATAATCACAGCAAAATATTCATCTGCCGAATTGGAAAAATTTAACTTTGAGATATTTTACACTATTTTTAAGCAATAACTCAACGTTTAAATATTATTAAATTATTTATAAACATTTTCAGTGTAAATGTTCAGTTCATTTAACTTTTGCTGCTCATCTTTGAGTGTTGTCCGCTACTTACTACCCAATAATTCAGCAATTTACCAAATTAATGTACGTAAGTATGAATGGATAAATGAATGACCAAAAAAACAACAATCAAATGAATTTATAATGTTATATATTGTAATATGCACGAAATGCATGGCACTGCTGACCAGAATGGAGTCTTCAAGCGATCGAACCAGGTTCCCGCGCAACAATAGCAAAGTGAGACTACAACCACCCCTGCCAACTTGTTGACTACATCTACAACATCGCTACTTTAACTGCATTCTCCAACAACTAGAGTAATTACCAAACAATTATTAAATAATAATGATCAGTTATAATAATTAACTTGAAAAATATTTAAAAATTATGAACTAACTGGTGTATGGTGAGACGAGTGTCTGGTTGATCATGGCTGGGGAGGTGATGAGGGAGGGGTGGATAGGGTAGGCCGTCATGATTGGGGGGATCACTGTGTGGGTGGTCTGGTGCAGAGAGTTTGTCATTGAGGACGCTGTTTGAGGAGCGTTGATGTGGTGATGAAGATGATGATAAAGAAGACGATGTGATAATGATGCAGATGATGATGAAGATGATGATGTGATGATGTTATGATGATGATGTGATGGTGATAATGATGAAAAGGATGATGAAAAGATAATAAGAGAGAAGAGAAAGAGAGAGAGAGAGAGAGAGAGAGAGAGAGAGAGAGAGAGAGAGAGAAAGAGAGAGTGGAATATAAGGTGATGGAGTGATTGATAGCGTACATAAAATGATAATGATGATGATGTAATCCTATGATGATGCAATCATGTGACGATGACAATGTTGTTGTTGTTGATTGATGATGATACGATAATGACGAAGATGACGCGGTGATGATGATTATTAAGATGGTGTTATTGTTGTTAAGATCTTCTGTTTTCTAAACATCGCTTGATTTGCGCGCATATAACTTCAAAGTGAGATTTTATAATAATAATAACAACTACAATAATAATAATATTATAATTACATATACAAAATATATATAATAATAATGAAAAGTTATTCTTCTTATTGGTTATAATAAAGATGATGAGAAAGAAGAAAAAAGACGAAGAAGAATTAGAAAAAAAGGATGATGAAAAGCTGTTGGCATCAGCGTTAATTTTGAAATGTTTTTAATGATGAAAGATTGCTCTGAGAAGACTTATTAAACTTTGATGAGGTATAAATTAGCTCCAGCTATGGAATCACTCAATTAGTCTGCCAACACCAATCAATTATTTGCACCTACCTTTAATGAACATTTTACGTTAAAAAGCACCGAATAAAAATTTAAAAATTATGTATGAAAAATAATATAGACCAAAAAAGCGCGCCAAACTGACCTGACGTGATGCCAGCTGGTCCGCCGTTACTGAGGCCGCCACTGTTGCCACCATTCATGTTGTTGTGCATGCTGCTCGCTACCACCAGGGCGTTTGTTGTATTGGCAACGATGTTGTTGGAGTTGTTGGTTGGTCCCGAGTTGATATTGAATGGGGGAGGGGGAGGCAGAGGGGGGGCCGCCAGGGCAGCGATAGGGCTCATGTAGCCTCCCGCAGTCGCCACAAATGTCTGATGTGGTGGAATTTTGTGTTTGTGTCATTTAAATGTTGCCGCATTAGTGTGATGTTACGAGGTTGGCTGAAGTGATTGTTGCATAATTTGTTCACGTTGTCGTTGCAGTTGCGTGTGTGATCGTGTGTGGGTGGCATAAAAATGACGAATTTGATATTGCCCAAAACTTAAATGGCTACGTTGGGATCTGTTTTGCAACAATATTTATATTAATACTGTGGCCAGTGCATGCATGTTGTAATTAATTTAAAACAATGCTATGCGAATGTTGATGGGTGGTTTAATATTGATACAATCAATTGACTCGCATATGAAAGACATTTTTACATAATTGTTAATAATGAAACAGACAGACAGACAAACAAAGAGACAGATAGATAGACAAATAGACAGACAGACAGACAGACAAATAATGAAGTTGGTTGTTGTCATTCATTCGATAGTTTCAGCTTCCATGGACCACCACGCATTTTCATTTGAAGAATTTATCACCTCAAAATAATTGCATATTGATTTACACAGGCACACACCCACAGACTGACAAAGACGAATGCATGCTCACAAACACACGCACTCATTCCTCTTTTTGTACACGAGTGTACATTTATGTCGTTGCGTATACAAACAGATTTATACTCATGCAGACGTACGCATAAAAAAACATACGTAGAAAAAACGCACACGCAAACGAATACGAATAATGCATTGTACACACATTCACTCACTCACACACACACACACACCACACACACACATAAACACCACACACACACACGGACACAAACATCTCTTCACATTCACCACACACACACACACACACACACACACACACACACACACTCACACGCACACAAACATCTCTTCACCATACACACATCCACACACACACATGCACACAAACATCTCTTCACCACACACACACACACACACACACACACACACACACACACACACACACACACATACACACACAAAAGAAAACACACCACACAACAACAGCAACAACAACATACATCAGCATCATCTATTTCTTCCTATCAAATTTCTTTTAATTAAACTGTGCACAGGCACTCGTTCTTGACGACACACCCAAATTGTCTTTGTACACATTACGACAAAACTAATTACATATCTACTCACATGTGTACAAACATATTCAAACAGTCGTATCTTGTATAACTTGCAGGTATAATCACATATAATATAATATAAGAAATGACACATGAATTATTTACATTGTATGTTAATTAATGCATTGTTAAAGTTTTCACATAAACACGTATATGCAGATACGTGTATACGTGTATAATACACCATTTAAGCATGCGAGCACTGCTGCAGTAGTAATAGTAGCGTTTAAATATGCATGCTTCAGAAGGCCTAATATGAAGTTAGTGATTGATTGTGGCAATGATGAACGCTGATATGTTGCTGATGTATTGTAGTGACATGAGCAGACATGAATACATGCTTACACGGATGGATACACTGATGGATACAGGGAAGGGATAATCGATGGATAGATACACGGATACATGGATAGATACACGGATACATGGATAGATACACGGATACATGTATGAATTCACTGATGTTTAAACAAATCTGTGCGATAACATCGATAGATATTTAGTCTAATTACAGATGTAAAAATATAGCCAACAGTGTACAAATATGAATCGATTAAGTATGATACACTAGATACATGAATGGATACAAAGATGGACACGTAGACGGATACATGGATGGATGCAGAATGGATACATAGATATCTATAAAAAATTCAAGAAGAAATCATGAAGGGAACAACGAATGGGTCGGTGAATGCGTGAATTTTTAAACAAACCAGTGCGAGATTAAAGATTTAATATTTCAAAGACAGATCTAGAAGTGTAATAAACAATTAAAAATAATAATCGATTGGGTAAGATTATAATCCAATCAATAATTGGAAGGTTGGTTAGATAGATGGATGGATGGATGGATGAATGGATGGATAGATGAATGGATAAATGAATGATTGATGAATGAATGAATGGATAGATAGATAGAAGATCTTTCAATCTTATAAGAAAGTTTGATGAATGATTGATGGATGAATGAATGGATAGATAGATAGAAGATAAATGGAAAGATGAGTTGATTATTTGACTGACGGAAAGATCTATTACGAAGTGATGAAATGAGTAGACAAACAAATGAACGGACCAGCAAAAGATGGATTGGTGAGTAGAAAGTAAAGAAGAGAAGTCGAGAGAAGATTGGAATTTGTAGTTGACGAACGAACGTGGAGGACATACAACTGCATGCATGCATGCATAATGCATCATTATTAAAACATCCAAATTATCTAGCATCTAAACACTTATTTTAAACATTAAAATGTTGTCTTGACTGATTTGTTTATTACGATCGGAATTTAAATATAGCATGGTAAAATTTATTTAATTAAAGAAACAGCTACCTATATTTTGTTGTGTTAACGATGGTTTTAAAAATTTTAAATTTTAGCACCAAAAATTTCAGTTTGTTATGCGGTATGGTATCAAAAAATGTTCATATCGTCAAACGATGTAACTCAGACCAATCAAAGAATGAATGCCTTCATAGGCGAGAAGTGAGACGTTATCGTTTTTGAATGAATGAATGAATAAATGAATGACTGGACGACAAAATAAATGCATAAATGAATGAATAGATGAATGGATGAATGAATGAATAAATGAATGAATAGATGAATGAATGAATGAATGAATAAATGAATGAATAGATGAATGGATGAGTGAATGAATAAATGAATGAATAGATGAATGGATGAATGAATGAATAAATGAATGAATGAGTTAATAAATGCAAAATTCATGCAAATGGAATGAATGAACAAATGATTGATTTGATGGATGCATTCGTAAGGAAAATATATAAATATGCATGCATGCATTTATAAGGATATATAAATACATACTGTATGCAGAAACGTGGGATATATGCACGAGTCCGTGGTTAAAAACAATGGATCATGTATGCATGCATGCAGAGTACACATAGGATGTGCATTTAATTAGGATGATCTATCGATCCTTGGATACTACTGCAGATAGCAAATGGACACGAAGACGAAAGAAATTCAAGAGATAGATGAAAGAGATAACATGCGTAATGGCCAGCAGGAAGTTGCTGAAAGTTGAAAAAACATTCCGCTTGGGAAATGAGATAAGTAAACGAACAATATCAAACAAACAAGTGAAATTGTGCACGAGTTGTACATGTACCCACAATGAAGACATAACCATTATTTAAGAGGAAAACACACGCTAGCTGTTGGCCTAGGTAATTGAAATTGTAAATGTTGAATCTCTGAAATTTTTCAGAAGGTATAATGCTTTAAAAACTACGCGAGTATAGAATTTATTTCTATACTCATTCTTTAGCTATTTTAATGCAGAGAATGTCAAAGCAGACATGCAAATGTTTTTGTCATCAAGTAATAAAAAGGAAGAATTATAAATAGATCCTAATTAGCAATGAATATATTCAAATTATGACTGCGGCATAACCACTAGAAAATAAATTTCACTTCATAATTTTTTAACTGAGACATTTCAGGATAATCGTAGAAAACTTTTCAACACAAAGCTATTCGAAGATTAAGATTAAAAATCTTTTATGAAATATTAATTAACATCACGCCTACAAATTTTTGTTTTTTTTTTTCTGTCTGCGTTTATAAAAGATTTTCATTTTTAAAATTGCTCCTTCAGTAATGAAATATTAAAGTTTTGAATTATGTAATATCCATTTTGAATTGTTTAAATACACATAGAAAAAGTAATATCTGATGGGAAAAAACGAAAATAAGTAACCGGTTGAAAAGCTGCGGGTGGGAACTGATTGTGGGGGTAGGCGCCGATGATGGGGGTGATGGTGAGAGGGTTGATGAGGCTCAGTGGGCCGACCATCTGCTGCATCCTTCGCATCTGACGCTCGCTCTCCGTGTCTGCAAACTTCACCACCAGACTGGAGGATGCGCCCTGTTCGTTGGTGGTTGGTGGTGGTTAACAGTTCTCGTTGAATCGCTTGTTGTTAAATATTTGGAGATATTTTATTGCGGTAATCATCATTATATGGTACATGCGCAAAGAACAACCATGCTGGCCAAATTATTTTGTTCAATGCTGCCGGTTCAATGTTATTCAATGTTAGATTGTTTGTCATTGGAATTATAAAGAAAAATTCAAAACCGCAAAAGTTTTCACACTGTAAAAAAATGTACACAGTGAAAAAAATGTAGGATTTGGAAAGTTTCTAAATTGTAATTACGGCCTTACAAATGAATGTGGCAAAAATTAATCTATTGAAAAATAAATCTGCTGAAAATTAAAATGAATAAGGATAGAAATGGATGAAAATTGAAATGGAGGAAGATTGAAATGGATGAAGATTGAAATGAATGAAGATTGAAATGAATGAAGATTGAAATGGATAAAGATGGAAATGAATGATGATTGAAATGGATAAAGATTGAAATGGATAAAGATTGAAATGAATAAAGATGGAAATGAATAAAGATGGAAATGAATGAAGATTGAAATGGATAAAGATTGAAATGAATGAAGATTGAAATGGATAAAGATGGAAATGAATGATGATTGAAATGGATAAAGATTGAAATTGATGAAGATTGAAATGAATGATGATTGAAATGAATGAAGATTGAAATGAATGAAGATTGAAATGGATAAAGATTGAAATGAATGAAGATTGAAATGGATAAAGATTGAAATGGATGAAGATTGAAATGGATAAAGATTGAAATGGATGAAGAATGGAACAAAGAAGAGGAGATATTAATGAGAACTCACAGGCATGGTCTGGCTACCATGCAGTGCGTTGATGACAGCTTGAGCCTCCGAGTGACTTGCAAATTTCACAAAAGCACATCCTAAAATGGGGTATGGATAATCAAGTTCTTTCAAAATTGTTTAATATAACAAAAAATTGGTTTTTAATGAAGTTCGTGAATGAAAAGTTTGTAACCATAACCCTGAGACAACGAGAAAATAACCTAACAAACTTAACTGTATAGTGTATAAAGTTTAATATACAAAACTTCAAATTGAAAACTAACAGTTATGATGAACATTCACTGCTAAAATAATTTAAACAGAATGATTGCCAAATTTAAAATTACGCAAAATAACATTGGCAAATTTATTAGATCGTTGAGTCTTTTTTTTTATTTCCGTACGTATACATGTATGTATGTGTATAGGTATGTGTTTGTGTGTGTGTGTGTGCGCGCGCGGGTGTGTGTGTATATTGTTTTATGTTTTAATTCATTTCATGTTTTAATTCTTTAACCATTATGCCTATTTTATTTTTGGACATTGTTAGTTCCTCACCAATATACATGATGAATAAATGAATAAAATGGTTCTCATTCCATCTCTCTCTCTCTCTCTCTCTCTCTCTCTGATGAATTTTGTTTAAATTGAAAATATATAAATAAATTTTGACTTTAATGAAAAAGTGATAGGAAATTATTTATTTGGCGGGTCTCTGAAAAAAATAAGAAAACTTTTCCTCGGGAAGAAAGATTGCAGGCTGCTTTAAATTGAAACTTTGCTTAATAAATTGACTTTGAAAAAAAAACTATTCATCGTCATCATAATCATAATCATCATCGTCGTCGTCGTCATCACCATCGTCATCGCCGTCTTCGTTATCATCATCATCGTCGTTATCATCATCATTATCAATATCATTATCGTCTTCATTACTATACATCCAGTGATCAGGGGCGTCATTTCAGATTTTGGTTGGGGGGGCGAACTCATGTGGTCTATGACTTAGCATGTAACATATACATATATATATATATATATATATATATATATATATATATATATATATATATATATTTTTACAATATTCTATAAATTCTACCGAATGTTTGGCGTTAATATGTT